GTGTACCTCTTTTATTTATTTGTGGTTATTTTAATAATTTCTCTTTATCACAAAAAGTTACTCTTTGCAAAGCTGAAATAATTGTATTAACAGTAGATGTTCACTGACACATTGGTCAGCCAATTTATCTGCCCCGATTACCTTAATTTAGGGTGCTCAGTAATTGGCTGATACAAAACAAACTGATCTTGTCCATCAATCTTATCTACCTTTGCAAAAGTTTGAAAATTGCCCACTCTCCTTTTTTATGCTGATGTGAGAGAGGGCTGACTGACAGACCTGACCACCAGGTTATGTCTGCACATGCATTGTTAATACTCACAGGTGGCCCGGAGCAGCCACATGGTTGATTTGGAAATATTATGCAATTAAAGAATAAGAGCAAAATATCTCAATTTATAATTCATGTAAGGCCGAAGTAACTGTACCCAAAACCTTCAATACTACAAACCTCGTTCGCCATTTAAGGAACCACCACGCCGCTGAGTATGCAGCATTTGAAGAAGGTAATCAGGTTAAGGCTAAAGCTATAAAAATACCAGTGGCCCACTGTTTGCTTTTATGAGCAGTGAAACGAGCAAAATAAGGAAAGTTACAAAGTTCATGGCATTAGACGACCAGCCATTTTCAGTCGATGAGGACCAAGGTTTTAGAAAATTGATGCAACGCTTGAAATTAAAGACCAGTGGCAGTTGGTCAATAGGGGGCGCTGGTTCGTGCCCCCCCCTGTATTTTTGGTACACAAAAATAAAATAAAATAAAATAACAAAAGAAAATGTTATAAATGTTTCGAAAATACTGTATATCGTATATATGTTTTCTGATAAGCAAAATGCATAATTTATTGTTTTTGATGTGTAAACTTCTATTTTATGCATGAACTTTTTCGTGTGAATCACTTCCGGGTCACGATGTGTTCTGCGCTACAGACAGTGGCGGTCAGTAAGTCCCCCATGCAAAAGTACAGAGTAGCCTGGGTTCGCAGCTGACCTGCGAACACACACCGGTACTTAGTGGGTTTACCCCGTGTCAACGACTCAAAGACATCATTTTAGTGTGACGGCCGGCAGGCAGATCACGAGGCGGATTTTGGAGAACAACGAATGAGAAATGAAGGAGAAGACAACAAGTCTCTTATATCTAAACCTTTTCAAAGCAGAACATATGAGGAGAAACTTAAAGTTAAGTAGCTTGGACTGAATAAGCCGGACATAATAAAAATTGAGCCAGAACGTGGTGTAGTTAGACTGTGTTGGGCTTACCTTTATATTTGAGCAGCATATAATATAAATAATGTTGAACACAACTTAAT